ACGTACCTGCACGCGGGAACAAATAACTCTGTATAATATACCGTATACACATATGTATAAATCTATATGGATACTGTACATACCATCATTTTCTCGAGTGATGCTGTGAAGCTTCGAGAATAACTATATAAGGTTGTATATATCTATTGCGAAGAATTTATTCAATGGATTAACAGCGATTTCGATTTTGCGACAAAAATTCGAGTAGGACCTATTATTGACCGGGGGTCCCAGATAACATGCTGACGTTGGGCCAACGTTGGCCCAAAGGATGTCTTCAGCCCATGCCAACGTTGGCTGCCAACGTTGGCCCAACGGATTTTCGCACGTGCGTCGTTAGAAATGAAATTTTCTTATAGGCTGTTGACAGGGACAACTACTCAAATCTTAACATCAACTTTTTCCCTCATAGACCGAATCTATTTTTGTTTCTGACAACTGCCCCTGGATGAGAAATACTTAACATCAAGACTAACATTAAGACCAGGTTTCTGACGACAGTCTCTACAATAGAAAGCCGATTTTTCTCGAAATACGATGTGCACAACAACGCATTCGCGCCACACTCGACACACAGTCACATCACGCACACATTACAGCCGGCTAGACTCGCCTCCGTTCTGGCAGCAACTCATTTAATATTAATTAAAACCCCGATTTTCTCTCAACACGTACAACAGCGCATTCACGCGAGCTTACAGTCGGCTAGACTCACCTCCGTTATGGCAGTAGCTCGTGCACAGATCCTGCTCACAGAACTTGCCCGCGTAGCCAAGGTTACACTTGCACTTCGGCACACCAGACGGCGCCACGCACACGCCGTTCGCCGTACAGTTGACGCGGTCGCACATGCTGTTCTGGCAGCGCTTGCCCTCGTACGGCTGCGGGCAGATGCAGTAGGGGGCGCTGGGGTCGTACTGACAGATGCCCTCGTTCTCGCACTTTAGCTTGTTGCAGTGCTGGCACTTGTCTCCCAGGAAATCTGTCGCGCAAAAGAGAACGACGAAGGCATCAGGCAGGATAGAATTGCGCGCGGATACTTTCACGATTGCAAGGCGTGTCATGACTACGAAATGAGAGCCTGAGAGCACACGGGACATGAGAGACCGTGCTAAGCTATCGTAATGTTCGTCGTAAGGCTCTGTAATGTTACGCAACAATTATACTCAGAGAGGAGAAATATATATCATAAAATAGTCACTATAATCACTATCTGAGTATTGCGTTTCCTTTGCTATTATACTGCGCTCCACGAGCTAAAAAATTTGAATCAGGGGGAAGTTACCGAACCCCAAATTCGAAATCTGCCGAACACATCAGAATAGCCATCACCTTCTTGGTCACTGGAACACTATAAGTGTTAACAGATCTAGAATGATACAACATCTGTCATCATAGTATCGACATAAATATCACTTACTTGGCGTGCACATACACTCGGGCAGACCGTCGCTCTTCAGGTGGCAGGTGCCACCGTTCTTGCAGTAGTTCTCGCACGACGGTATGTGCTGGTCGCATTTCTCACCCGTCCAGCCATCCACGCACCTGCAGCAAGCATTACATACAGCATTACACTCAGTAGGGCAGATATAAGGCCTATGTCTCCCTGACCTCTGTTTGACCTGGCTCGTTTAGCTATTTCTGACAAATATATATATATATATATATATAATATATAATATATATAGGGTTAGGGTTAGGGTTAGGGTTAGGGTTAGGGTTAGGGTTAGGGTTAGAGTTGGGGTTAGTCTGAAATAGCTAAACGAGCCAGGTCAAACAGAGGTCAGGGAGACATAGACCCTACGGGCCTCAGTAGAGCACACAATTTATTATCCGAAATACTGAAAACTGAAGCTATAAAAACCGAGTTTTTTCGTGGAGGTCGTCTGCACACGAAAGCTAGCTTTGGCACCAAAAGTTCACTGCAGAAATATTCATGTGTTTGGCAATAATCATACATATTGTACTGTACCCGTACAGCACTTGACCTCTTGAAAACTTGGGTTTTAGTATTGGCTAGTTGCAGGATATATTGTATGTATAACCTGCAGCAAGCATTACACTCGCATTCAGTATCGCCCGGCAAATTAACAGAAAACACGCGCTCCGCGAACCACTTACGAGTATCTACAAGGTAGATGTGAATGCCCGCCACTATATAATAAAACACACATAAATATTTATCAGCCATCCACACACACTCTGTATCGCACACGCTCACCAACGCACCCGGCAAACTACCAGAAAACGCGCGCTCCGCGAACCACTTACGATTACCTATTGCGATAACCACTATGCGATTAAATATTGATGAACGATATGGTCGATTAAGTTCATTGATGTCTACCGCTGACCAACATGAATAATCGCCAGGGATTTACATTAATCTTACGATACACGGCAAGCACCCCACACGTGCGCACTCTGTATCGCCCACGCTCACCAACGCACCCGGCAAACTAACAGAAAACGCGCGCGCCGCGAACCACTTACGATTACCTACGACGTAAATGTGAATGCCTATCACTGACCAATATGAACGATTACCGATGATTTACATTGATCTTATGATACACAGCTGGTTGAGGAAAGGTTGGTATATATTGGTATATATTTTGGGGGTTATTATGAGATCAGTGTGGAAAAAGGAGGTTGATCAGGGAGTCAATGGCAGGAGGAAAGATATCGTTGAATCAGAGAAGCAAGCAGAGCAACAAGTGTAGAAAAAGATGAAGTTAAGGTAGATCGCAGTTGATGGGTGGGGTTAGTGGGGGAGGAGGGGAGATGGAGAGGAAGGGAGGAGAGGAGGAAAAGAAGGGAGAAGGGTAGAGATCGTGGGGGAGGAGGGGAGGAGCGTGTATACTTACTCGCAGGACGGTTCGCCGTTAGAGTTGAGCAGGCATCCGCCATGCACGCAGTAACCCGAGCACTTGTACACCTCACATCGCTTTCCCTTGTACTCGATAGGGCAGCTGCTCAACAAATCATACACAACAAGACATACATAAATCATGAATAAACTTGTGATATATATATATAATCACACATAGCATGATTGCATTATGGTTCACCTAGACTTACCCGTGCACCGAGTCGTTTAGCAATAGAAGAGAAGTGCTACCCAATAGAGGTGCAGTTTATTGAGCCCACAGAATCAAAACGATGAATCTTAGTTTTAAGTTGTACTTTTGCATTAATTTTTATCAGAAGTTTATTTAGTTTTTGACACAGGAGGCTTGAAAACTGTCCTGGGCGAAGGCCCTTAAATTAAGAAGAGGAAAAAGAATATGAAAAAGAAGCACAGTAAAAAGAATAAGAAGAAGAAAAAGAAGAAGAAAAAGAAGAAGAAGAAGTGGTAGGCGATGACAACAAAGAATAATATTAAAAAGAAAAACAACAACAACAACATCCAAGTCCACCGCTGCCTCCTCCTCCTCCTCCCCCTCCTCCTCCTCCTCCTCCACCTCCCCCCCCTCCTCCTCCTCCTCCTCCTCCTCCTCCTCACCTGCATATCGGTGTGGGATCCGCCGCGGGCGACTGCGACGCGGGGGACGCCTTGCAGGAGCCGCTGTTCAGGCAGTAGTCAGCGCAGATATTGTGCTGGCATCGGTTGCCCGTGAACAGGCTGGGACAGCGACAGCTCTGGACGCCCAGGTTGCTGAGCAGACACGTGCCTCCGTTGATGCACTGCGAACACGAAGCGTGAGCGTGAGCAGGCAACACAACGAGGGTTACAGATAATCTATATAACGTATCAGAGATGCCAACACATATTTAAAGCAATCTGTAGTTTCTGGCCATCAAATTAGTAGTTCGAGGGTCACATAGTGACCCGAGTTTGCTAGGAAGGTCCGGCATGCCCCCGGAAAAAATTTTGATTCTGAGATGCAATTTCCTGCATTCTGAGGGTCAAAAATTGTAATAAATCGAAAAAAAATGACAATTTTTTTTTTCCGATCACAGTGGAATTACTAGTTTGATACAAACTGGTCGTAGTGGTGCAAAAAGAATAGAAATTTGTATAAAATATGGATAAATCGTAGTGGTTGGCATCTCTGATGTATGTATGTATTTTTATTAATATGTATTTTTTTTTGGAAAATTAATTATTATTTTATTATATGGTACTTATATTTAAGTACGTATGGCTTACGTAATTTATAATGTCACAACTGCATTTTAAAAGTTAGGATCATTTACACTTATAATGTCACGACTGCATTTCAAAGCTTCCACATTTTATGTTTATGATGTCATATGTTGCCATAACTACACCTCCAACGTTCCACATTTCATGCTTATGATGCTATGTCCACACCTCGCAAAAGTTCCATACTTTACACTGACACTTTACACATATTAAAATCACTGATGGTGTTTCTGAGACCACCCCTCCCCCCCTCCCCTTCCCTGCCGCCGCCGGACTACACACAGCAACAACGGTGGCGCCCCCACGGCGACGTACGGTACCTGATTGCTGCACAGGTCGGGCGTGATCTCGTCCTGCTGCTTGCACGTGTCGTTGACCTTGAGCAAGGTCGCTGGACAGACGCACACGTGGTCGCCGGTCAGCGGCTGGTTGATGCAGATCATCTTGCTGTGGAGCTTCGAACACGGGTTGTTCTTACATGGGTTAGGAACTGCGAACGATGACAAGACACACAACACGGATTAGTATCAATTGCTATGACAGACTGTACTAATTGCTTGTAAACAGATGACTTTAAGATGAAACCCACCCCTGGGTTGTTCTTACAGGGGTTATAGGCCATGCAAACAATGGCAACGCGCGCAATATTGTTTACAAAATTAATATACAAATGCAATATTTGACATAATTAACGCAATTAACGTAAACGAGAGATTTTATTTATTTTACTTATTGGGGTTTTAAATGGTAAATCTTCCAATGTGGTAATGTTTGATGGGCACGGGTTAGGCACTGCAATCGATGACAAGACACAACACGGATTAGTATCAATTGCCGGCTTGTAAACAGACGACTTTAAGATGAAACCCACTCCTGGGTTGTTCTTACATGGGTTAGGCACTGCAAACGATAGCAATGCACAACATCGTTTATAATTGATTACTATTATTTATTTCATTTACACTGATTATTATTATTATTTTACTGATTATTCCTTTTTTCAATGAAGTAATTTTCGGTAATTTTCATTCAAATTTTCATCTTTTTTGTCAATTTCCTCCAGCAAATCTCTCCTTCCTCTGCGACGTTTTCAGGAATTTTTCACAATTTAAATATCTTTCATTCATTTACTAATTCTCCACATTTCCTTCTTCCGCGATAGAACATCCTCGACTCAAAGAACACACAAACGAGCAAGTCTACTTCGTCCTCTACTCAGAGCATTTCTACTAATTATTGAACTAATTATTAACGATTCAACTGATTGTTATTATTCTACCGAGTATTATTGTTTTACTGATTATTATTCTTTGTAATAAAGCAAATTTCAGTAATTTTCATTCAAAATTTCCTCTTTTTTTCCTCGATTTTCTCCAGCAAATCTCCTCCCTTCCCGATTCAGAACACAGAAACATGCCAATCTCATTCCTCTTCCAACTCGGGGAACGTACGAACAATGCAGGCGCAACTCGGGGAACGTACGAACAATGCAGGCGCAACTCGGGGAACGTACGAATTCTACGAAACCAATCGCAGGCGCAAACTCCTAGGCGAACTGTACGAACAATGCAGGCCGCAACTCGTGGAGACGCGCTCGCAACACACCCCCGCGCGCCCCGTGACTCTTGCAGTTCTTCTCCTGCTTGTTCTCCTGCACCATGACGACGTCCGCCGTGCCGCGCATGTTCCGCGCGAGGTAGTCCACGTCCGAGCCGCCGAACTTGTCTAGCTTGTAGAGCGAGCGGTTGCCGGCGTGGTAGCTGCTAACGTACAGAGTGTCCTCAAACACATCCAGCTTGTACGGCTTGTCGCTGTCTGTAAACAAGAGAACGTCGAAACAAGAGAACGTTAGTTTAATCTGTGAACTTGTCTAGCTTGTAGAGCGAGCGCGTTGCGGCGTGGTAGCTGCTAACGTACAGAGTGCCTCAAACACATCAGCTTGTACGGCTGTCGCTGTCTGTAAACAAGAGAACGTCGAAACAAGAGAACGTTAGTTTAATCGTCAAACACGTCCAGCTTGTACAGCTTGTAGAGACATGTAGGAAACATAAAAAAACGAGACTTACAAGCAAGAAACTTGCAGGAACAGTATAACAACGTGACTTAATTTACAAGCAGGAAACTTGCTCCCGCAAATTTCTCGAGAATATACGAAAATCTCCTTGGGCATACAAGCATCAAGACAAGCGCGGTATTGTGCGAATAATGCAAATATCGGAGACAGAGCGCAAAGTGCGGGCGGTAGTCCAGCCGTCACTCAATCGAATCCACTTAGAAAACTCCGCTATGATTATGTGAGGCGAATGAAGAAGGGAGGCGAGCGCGCACCGCTCCATACGGGCGCGCCCTAATTGTTTAGCCTGTGCTAGTTCCAGGTCATGCTGTTTAAACAAGCCACAACTATTCCCGATTTAGCAGCATCCGCTGAATTTTAATTATTCCATTCTCCAGGCTCACCCATGTTACGCACGTCATACACGGCACATATCACCGGCCGCACGACCATCTTTCTTAGGAACGATCCGATGAGCGCCCATTCAGAACTGATGGCGCTTCAATCATGATACAGATTGCAATCCATAGGATTGCCATCATTTTGATGATCTTGTGCGAATCTTTTATATGTGGTTGTATAGATTGTGTCCTGTAGTATGCGCGAGATTTAAAGCCGTGTGCCGCTGTGCAGCCGTCCACCCCTGTATATTACGTGCGGCACGCAAATATTGGTGTCTACCGGGTGTTTTCGCATGCCGAACTGTTTTAAAGGTCATCTGCCATATACCTCGATTTTCCTATTAACATTACTGCATGCTACAATTTAGTATAGATGGCCTAATAAACCCTATCCTTAGGGTATCACGGCATAATTCCAACCTCCACTCTTTAGCGCATCGTCAGACTCACACCCCTTTGCTTACTATGGAGTGATGTTCGGAGCGGGTCTAATCATGTAACTTATTAGAACAATTTCTTGTTATAATCGGTCTGTTGCCGTCTGTTGAAGCTTAGTAATCTATTTTTTTCTGGCAGCTTCCCTTCGAATTGTTTGAGCCACAAAGCTCGCACAGGACAATCTGGCTTACTGATAGACTTTTTAATGGGTTGAAGCTTGAAACGTGCGTATATACACTGTTGTGTTTAGAATAGCCGTCGGGTTTCGCTTCAATCAAATCTATTAGATCGACGTGCCTACGATCATGTCGATTTAACTACCACGAATTGCTCCCTCACCATTAAATATAGAAGCCAGCACTCGAGGCGACGAATGTCCTGGCATCGATGGTTAGATAATAAAATACCTATACTGAGTGGAAATTTCCGAGACACTCGTTGTTACAAATTTATAGAACGTCAGCAGCTGATGTGCATTCTGTAGTATAGACTACCTTACCGAGGATCACCTGCACCATACTGCGGAATTGAGATACGTCTGAAGTGAATAAAAAGAGAGTTTTGTTATCTTACCCCATGCCTGAATTACATTCAAGTCATTAAGTCATAATGTTTATAATTAGCGTTACGCACGAGCGCAGAATTATAAAAACTATTTTGTTTTGTTCACGTTCACGGATCATCTAACAGTCATGCGCCTATTACCCTACCATTTTAATAATCTTCACACATATAATATATATATATATTATGCGTGCTTCTTATTTACATGTTTCATTATTAACAAACAGTTTCTTCGCCCGAGCATCTCAAACGTACGTCGCGCGGAACCGGGTTTCACTTATTTAGGCATCGACCAACCACGTAATGGAGACTAACCGGTCAATAGTTAGTGTATCAGAGACATTAACCTTTATAAAAGTAGCATTCATGATGAGTCAACAGGGCATTCTCCTCACGTAAAAAACAAGTAGACGCGCTCTAAAATTGAATTATTCGTGAGGTATAGTTACCCATTTCTAGGTTGCTTTCCACGCTGTGTAGATCTGCCAATTCATCATTTTAGGGCTCATTTCTTCTTCGATTGCAGTTCCCTTGGATATTACTGGTATCTCTGATCATTGCGGTTATGGTCTCTATGGGAACGTTGCTGAGACAAGATAAAAAGAAAAGAACGATTATTGTCAATAGTTATTACTATGACCAGCCCAGCCGCGTGGAATTCTCATACTATAGACCGGATTTTTACAGATAAATCGAACGAGCCGATATTCAAAATCGCATTAACCGAACACAACGACCGAACGGCGGAAACTTTACAAGCATGGGAACTTGAGTGGCTAATGTGTCAATACAAGACACTGTGTCTGCTGGTAGATACCGCCATCTAGCGGCGATCTGATGTGTCGGTCTCGGGCCATCTATAGGGGAGCGTACCATATTTTTGCAGGGGTCACCGCGCGGATCAGCCCTATGCAGCATTACCTTTCACCATTGGGATCCGTGTCATAATTATCGCCTGCAGGACTCTGATTCATGGTTTGACGCCGATTGTCAGGCCAGTTTTGTCTCTTTTAGCACTGCTCGATCAATTTTCAACATTTCTCTGTACGGCCCTCGGCTCGTGTTCAGTGATGTACTCTCCCGGTCGGGTTCATCGTGGGATCGAACAGCAATGGACGGATCGTGCTTAACGGTAAAGGCCCCACGATGGCAGCCGCAAGTCTGGCGCGCGCCACCTGTCATTGTACACTGCCTTTGTATGATCCGAACCGCACCGCAGTCGATGTCGCCATCCTTGTCCCGCCGCTCGCTGTTTGAGATGAAAGAGGAAGGTGTTTGCCAGCGGGGTCGCCTTCGGAAGTTTAGGAACGCTGCGGATTTTTCTTGTCCTTGCCTTCGTATCTCCTCTGTTGCTTGCTGCCATCGTCACGTTGGGCGATTAGTCGCCCAGCCAAGCCCGTGCGAAGCATTCGCGTCCAGTTGTGCTGGTGAGGGCTTCTCGCTGCGCTGGGTTGTTCGCAGGGTGCTCGGGAATCTTACCACGGCCAGTACAGCACGCGTAACTCAATGGGCCGGCTCCCGGCTGGCGTTCGCGCCCTCCCAGGCGTCTTTACTTAGCCGTTTCACTACCTTCCTCCTAAGATAATCACCACGGCCGTTTTAACCTTTTCTAGATTAATCTTGCGGTAGTTATGAGGCTCATGTGCAACAAGCGGTGGCCACTCCAGGTTCGTGCGCTTCCGCACTTGTACCGGGTCTTTGGTCTGCGAGAAGCACTAAACTGTCCGTGAATATGTATAACGGACTACATTAGTCTTTTCTGTGTCGCTGGTCATTTCCATAGATCTTCTTCGCGGGCTATATGACGATAGCGCATTGGGATCTATTTATCTGTGACGTAATGAATAACTCGTCGTAGGCACCTTACGCATCTTTTTGCCACCGCCCGGCGTCCGTCCAGTAGATGTATCCTGACGGAGGGATGAGTGTGTCAGTAGCGCAGACGTCCATCGTTATTAAATACAGACCTAAACTAGATCCTCTCATTACGTGATATATAGAGGTCCTGGCAACTTCTGCCCCAGTAGATATTACGATGTGAAGAGGGGGGGGATGGAGGTGTCGTTTAGCAGTCGTTAGACAAGGGACCGCAATGTTCGATGCGTTGTTTAGACACACACGTGAGAACAGTTTGAGATGTTTTATGGAGGAAATATTCATTTTGAATTTGTTCATTTGTTCTATTTGAACCACTGTCTCCGAGTTTCAGTACGGCGTGAGAACCTAGGGTAAAACCGCTTCTAGCATTACATCAGATACCCGCCGATATTTATTCTGCCAGTCTCCGTCACTTCTGATTGTTATTTCTTAGAGTTACTTTCCTGACTTTTAATTGAAGTTAATAATTAAAAATCCGGTCGATATTTTGCAAGAAAAGTGGTCCTTATCTCCCCAAATTTTTTATTCGTTTTTTTGCATCGATCTCAGAATTACCAATATTGAAAACCAAAAACCCGGAAATCCGTGAAATCTGCGAGGAAAATTCTCATGCCTGTCCCAGACACGGACCGGTTTTCCGCGTCCACGTACTACAATACTACGTCTACGTCTAAAATACTATTAAGCTTTCCATAATAACAGCAGGTCGCATCTCGCCGTCAAATGGGTATACACACTGTTTTCTAGATGTACTCCTCTTAGACTCATGAGAAGGATGTTCACGAACTGCCGCGTGAAGGGTGGGGAACACCATGCTCATTTATTTCGCACGTCCGCAGCGGATATGCTAAAAATTGGCAAGGCGCGGGCGAATTTCATCGCGCAGCCGAAATTGCGCAGCGATCAAACATCATGTGTTGTATTTTCGCTGCGGACTGCGGACGTGCGGGAATATAGACTGGTACCGTCCCTTGCAGACGAAGTTCTCATAGTAGGCCGGTATATCGGGAGCTTGTGAAGAAGGATGGGTACCAGTCTTAGTGCGAATAATGGCCGATTGCTTAATAACTGGCAGCGAATGCATTGAAATCAGTGATTCGCTTTAATCACCGTGACCACATGACTGTCTGCGAGCCATGCGTGGATGTCCGTTGTGGCGCCAGTACGATCGCCGTGTAGTGTGTACGCTGCAGACGTTGCGGAATAAATTTTTGCATTTTTGGCCGGGCGCAGTAAACGCCCCCTGGCTTCACGGCTAAGTTACATTTCTCCCGCATGGCTCCATTGTCTCCTTCAAGAAAAACATA